AAACAGGAAGTGTCATTAGGAGAGCCCACAGAGCTCGCAAAAAAAGCCTGCTAATTCCTTCTGCAGACACCAAATGTTTTTTGTTTGTGCTTCGTGACAAAGAAGCCAGGTCTTCCTGCTGGTGAAGGGGGAGAAACAGACAGGGGTAGGCCCTGTACTGTGTGAGCTGCCCACAGGCACCTTGGGCCCCTTCCCCTCACTCTCTCTCCCCACTTACTGTCCTTCTCCCACCTCCCCATGCCTAAGACATAGAGACTCCTGGGCTTGTTCTGCTTACTCAGAGATCGTTAGAGTGGGAAAGATTTAGAGGATGCTCAGGGCAAACTCTTCATCAATGGGGAAACTGAGGCCCAGAGAGGGAACTCACCCAAGGTTACACAGCTAGTAAGTGTTCAGAGTTGAATTTGGTTTTGAGGTCATCTGACTTCTCTAGTCCATGACACCAGATACCAGATTGCCCTTCCTAATAGGAGGCTCGTGTAAGATCCGGAAGCCTCATACATGTACTGTTGTATGTCCTTGACCACCATCATTCTTCCTCCTGCCTCTTCTGCCACTCCCAATGCATCCACTTGCTGTCATGGGCAGAACCACAGGCCCCTTGAATAAATAACCCTCAACATCGAGCGTTCTTAACCTGGGTTCTGTGAACCTGTTGAGCGTATTTCAACATTATTGTCTTCCTTTGTAATTGTATGTATTTTGTTTTATGTGCTTGTTCTGGGAAGAGGGCTGTTCACTAGACCCCTATACATCTCTCATTGGAAGTCTACTCCATCCTGGAGTATTCTTCCTCTGATTGGCTGGTTCCTTCTTGAATCACCATTTTAAAGAAATAGCCCAGGCTAGCCATGTATGTCTTCATTCCTCTCCAAGCTTTACTCCTGACTCTTTGGCCTTTACCTACCATCCTCCTACCATCCTCCTAACACCCTTGGTGTGTGTGTGTGTGTGTGTGTATGTAATGGGAGAAAAAAAAAGTTAAAATGAAAAGTCCCCAAGAAAGCAATTCTTTATTCACTGTTAGCGCTGGAAGCAATTCTTTTCAATCTCCTTTTATGTGACATATTCCCTCATTAAAATGTAAGCTCTTGGGGCAGCTAGGTGACGCAGTGGGTAGAGCACCAGCCATGGATTCAGGAGGACCTGAGTTCAAATCTGGCCTCAGACACGTAACACTTACTGGCTGTGAGACCCTGGGCAAGTCACTTAACCCCATTACCTAGCCCCCCTTAAAATATCTATCTATCTATCTATCTATCTATCTATCTATCTATCTATCTATCTATCTAAGCTCTTAAGGACTGGGACTGTCTTTCTGCTTGTATCTGTATCTTCAGTGCTTAGCACAGAACCTGGCACGTAGTAAGTGCTTAAGAAATGCTAGTCAACTCTGTATTACTCACTTCAAAGAGTTCCAAGAGGGTCCAAGATGCAGAAATGGGTCAGGAACCCTGCTGTATGCCTATGGGCTAGCTTGATGTCCCTTCGACATTCTCACATCACACATCAGATTTGTAACATAAATTCTTCCTTTCCCTTTCTTCTTCCTTTTCCTCAATAGAACGTAAGCTCATTGATAACAGGGATTCTTGACCTTTTAACTTTGTCTCCTCAGCGCTTAGCATGGTTCTGGTCACATAGTAAATGCTTAAGGCAGTGCAGTGGACAGAGTGCTAGGCCTGGAGTCAGAAGGACTTGAATTCAAATCTCGTCTTAGGCATTTACCAGCTGTGTGACCCAGGACAAGTCACTTAACTTGTCTGCCTCAGTTTTCTTAATCATAAAATGGGGATAATAACAGTGTGCTTAGCTGAGAATACGGCAGGCCTTTAATAAATGTTTATTCCCTTTCCCCTGCGTATGAGTTGTGCTTATGATTTTGTTGGTGTAGGGAACTCATGGATGTTGTTCAGTTAGTCATGCCCAACTCTTTGTGACCCCATGGACTGTAGCATGCCAGGCCCTTCTATCCTGCACTATCTCTCAAAGTCTGTCCAAGTTCATGTTCGTTTTTTCCATAACACTATCTATTCATCTCATCCTCTGCCATCCCCTTTTCCTTTTGCCTTCAATCTTTCCCACCTCTTGGATGAGTAAAGTCCATTAACCAAGTTTGGATCAGCATTTTGTCCACAATTTATGGTCTTTGAGAGTTTGCTCAGAGTACTGAGAGATGAAGTGTCAGGGGTCACATAGCCCATACATGTCACATGGCATGCTTGAACCCAACTCCGGTTCCCAGGCCAGCTCTCCATCCATTTTTCCATATTGCCGCTCGATGCTTGGTACTTAATAAATAAACGCATGTTGACTTTCATTGGAAAGGACTCAGAATGTAAAATGTTAGAGTTTACTTACAGCGCCTTAGAATATAGAATGTTATAACTGCAAGGGACATAAGATTATAGACTGTTAGAGTTGAAAGGGTCCTTAGAATGTCAGAGCCGGAAGGAACCCTAGAACATGGAACACATGAATGTCAGAGCTGGAAGAGAGCCTTGGGCATGGAAATTAGAATTGTCAGAGCTTGGAGCGTCCTAAAGGTCATCTGTTCCAATCCTGTCTTTTTACACATAAGTAAACTAAGACTCATTAAAGGGGAGGGACTTGGTCACATGGTAAGTGGTAGCTCTGAAGTAAAACCCCAGGTCTTCTGAGTTCTAGCACAAGACTCTCTCCTCTGGCAGGCACATGGCTAGGGATGTGCAACATAGTGAGCCCACTCTTGCTTGGGTTTTTTTTTTTTTGAATACCCAATGAGAAAACACAAGCACACGCTAGACATATGTTCTCTGTGTACCTTTAGACACCAAAATACGCCTACAAAAAGGCGTGTGTGTATGCATGCACCCACACACGAGCCTGTGTAGACATACACATACCACACATACACATGTTCTCTCACTTCCCAGAAATAGGCTTCCTTATACCCACACATGAACTTTTCTGCCTGATGCAGAACTAATTACTCTCATCTACATCCTCCTTGCAGACATTTTGTATCTAACCTTAGTATATGGTACTCTATTCTACATATAAAAACAGAACACGTTTTCTCTCCCTCCTCTCTCCCTCTCTTTCTCTGTCTGTCTGTCTCTATGTCTCTCTTTCCCTCTACCTCTCTGCCTCTGTCTCTAAGTTTCTGTCTCTCTATATCTCCGTCTCTGTGTCTCTCTACACACATGTATATATAAATGTATGTATACATATGTATGTATGTATGTATCTATATCTTCCTTGAGAACAGAGACTTTCACCTTTGTCTTTGTACCCCTCGCATTGACCCCATATTTGCCACATAAAAAGTATTTAATAGATGTTTATGGATTGATGGTTTGGATTTGGACCAGTTAATTGGTGTAGACAATCCCTGGTGAGGAAATTCCCTCTACTGGTACAGATAGACTATTCTTTGGCAACTTATAGACTTAGTTGTCTGGGGGTGGGGTGGGATGGGGAGGACTGAAAGGTTCAGTGACTTACCCAGGGTCGCACTGAATGTGTCAAAGGGAGGACTTGAACCCAAATCGTCTTAATACATTATGCCCTGCAATCTTTTTTTTTTTTTTTTTGGTGGGGGGAGAGGAGGCAATTGGAGTTAAGTGACATGCGTAGGGTCACATAGCTAGCAGATGTCTAAAGTCAGATTTGAACTCAGGTTCTCCTGACTCCAGGGCTGGTGCTTTATCCACTGTGCCACTTAGCTGTCCTACCCTGCTACCTTACACAGGCTTTGTGATTTTTAAATCTTAAAGTGCTATAGATATGCACACAGACATTCCTTATGTTCATTCCTCCCCCTTCTGGCCTTCTTTCATACTCCTTCAGACCGTTTGTTAAACTATTCATTCTTTATTATTAACGTACATTTATGAAAATTTTTTTCACAGTTACAAAAGTTCACAGCTATAAAATTGTCTCCATACAAAGATTGGCATCTTCCCTTCCCCCCTCCCACCCACAGACATCGCACATCATAGGACAGTAATTAGAAAAGTGGAAGGCCCTACTCTCCAAAAGCCCAGCCTGATGGCCGCTAGGCAGGGGTCAAGGACAGACCTCTCATCTCGCTTTGCTCATTTCCTCTCTGTCTCTCCTGGAAGAAGGCAGTTCAATTCCTCTGGCCTTTGGAAGTCATGACCATGAGGAGTGAATGGAAGAAGGTGGTCCTGGCAAATTCCTCCTTCTTGGAGAGCTTCCGGGCTACCCTCTCCATTTCCATGAGTGTGGAAGGATGCAGGGAAGAAGGACACTAAGAGCATGGGAAAAAGGGAGTCTCTGGCTGGCCAGAATGGAGCTGCTGTGGATCTCCCCCGATTATGAAGGGGAAATTCCTGATCTGCTCAGGATCAACCTCTAAGGTGTTTTGGGTCTCCCCATCACTCGTGCTTGTCTGTTCCTGCAGGGTTCTTTCTTTCTTTCTTTCTTTCTTTCTTTCTTTCTTTCTTTCTTTCTTTCTTTCTTTCTTTCTTTCTTTCTTTCTTTCTTTCTTTCTTTCTTTCTTTCTTTCTTTCTTTCTTTCTTTCTTTCTTTCTTTCTTTCTTTCTTTCTTTCTTTCTTTCTTTCTTTCTTTCTTTCCTGTTGTAGGAATAAGTGAAAATGACCCTAGGGCTGACAGTGGACTGGTGGGGAATGGAGAATTTCCAGACCAGGCTGCTTCAGTGTCCTTCAGACCTTGCTGGCCATGCAGATCTCTGAGGTCCTCTAGTCTAAAGTGAAGGACATTTCTGCAGCCTAAACCAGTCATTGAAGGATGGGAGAAGAGAGGGAGGGAGAGAGGGAAGAAGGGGAAAGACTGTCCAAGACTTCCAGACCATGTTTTCCTCTCTCTCTCTCTCTCTCTCTCTCTCTCTCTCTCTCTCTCTCTCTTCTTTCACTCTCTCACTTTTCTTTCTCTTTCCTTTTTTCTCTCTTTCTTCTTCCTTTCTTCTCTCCCTCTTTTCCTTCCTTCCTTCCTTCCTTCCTTCCTTCCTTCCTTCCTTCCTTCCTTCCTTCCTTCCTTCCTTCCTTCCTTCCTTCCTTCCTCCCTCCCTCCTTTTTTTTCTTTCTTGCTTTCCTTCTTTTCTTCCTGAGGGCCAGTTCCACCTCATGCCAATCAGCTGAGGCCTTCAGGCCCACTTTGGCATATCAGAAAACACAGCAGCAGAGGAAGGAACATACCAGAAAACAGTGCAGGAGACCTGAGCTCAGCTCCTAGTGGGAGCTTGTCCCCATCACAGGTGGAGTCAGATACATTTTAAACCTTACATAGATAGACACATACACAGAGATACAAACAAATTAACCTGTAAAAAATTAAAATTAAGCCTTGTGGGAAGACCAAGGGTGTTTATCACCAGGGCAACGTGAACAGTTGTGACCAGGATTGCTACGTTGCCTTTAAGAGATTCCTTCTTCAATACGTTTTTGTGTTTTGGGACAGCCCCAGCAAAGAGATGGAAAGCAATTTATTGGCAAGGAAAAGGGGCTCTGGAGAGGATGGGTAAACCTCGTGCTTACTGAGGTCCACTGTTTCCTTAGAAATCCCAGAATATTAGAGTGGGAAGGGGCCTTAGCAATCATCTAGTCTTTCTTACCCCTTCATTTTATAAATGGGAAAACTGAAATCCAGAGAGGGGAAGTAATTCACTCAAGGCAACACAGCAGCAGAGCTAAGAACAGAAGCCAAGTCTCCCCTTGGCTCTGGGTCCAGTGCCCTTTCTGGTTACACTATAGTTCGTGTGTGTGTGTGTGGGGGGGCGCGCGTGCACACGCACGTGCACTTCAGAACATTTCCACAGCTGGAAAAATATCTGCTCTTTAAAGGCATCTATCCTGTTCATAAAGGTTCACTCTTTAGCTTTGCCACTGATGGAGACAGAAAAGTACAGGTGGAGAAATGCATCTGACCTCGGGTGGCGTTTGGCATCTTGTTTGGTCCTAGATCTATGCAAAATAAAATAAACTAAAAACATACATGTCTTGAAATACATTAGCCATACATAAGAAAAGGTCTCTAGGAGATGGTTATAGATTTCTATGGAGCATCCCCATTTGGGGAAGGTTTAACTGTTCTCATTAGTAGTATTGTTTGAAAAGGTCATCCCATAATACTAGAGTCTCTCAACTAGAATGTTACAGACTCTGGCAAGAGAACTAAGCAGTCAAAAGAGTTGCCTCACTGGTGGTGACAGGAAGACAGCAAGCGTGGTCCTCAGCTCTGGATGTCAGGAGCTGAGATTTAGGGATTCCAATAGAGTATGGGCTCTGTTGAGTTCATTTCTCTAAGTTCTAGGAATGTCTCTGCTGCCTCTTTTGGTTGGATAGCTCCCTGGGTAAAGCATCACTGGGGAGGATGAGCTCCTTGGGTGGGAGCTCTTCCTCCCATTACCCCCAAGTCCTCTTGAAGTGCTTGGGGGCCATCAAGATGGGGGTGGGCTGGAGGTCACTGAGAAATGGGGCTGGGCAAAAAGCCTCTTTTAGGGTGATTCCACCCAGACAGCTCTGCCAAGTCGCTGAATCTTGACAGGAGGGGCGGTTGGATGCACTGATGTGGAATCTGCCATATCTCTATTCCTCCTCCCCCCACCATATACCTAGCTTCATTTAGATCCCTCCCCAGTCTACAATGCTTCATCCCCTCCCTGGTTCCACATGCCTTCTTTCTGTCTCAACCCAAACTCTCTCAAACCCCGTCATTGTCTCTCATACCATCTTCTTCCATTTGCTAGTGACCTATTCCTTCTGAGCTTACACAACCTGTCTTGCATCTCTCTAATACACTTATCAGGTAATGCTATGCATTATAGGGGATAGAGCTGATCTCAGTCCTCTCCCCACCTGTCCCACTGGACCATCAGCTCCATGAGGGCAGAGATCATGCCTTCTCTAAGCCTTGTGTCTCCCTCGGTGTCTAACACGTTGCTTTGCTCTGCACACAGATGGTGTTTAATAATTATTTGTTGGCTGAGTGAATGAACAAACAAATCCAGGTGGTATCACTACCTCCCACTAATCATACTTTTCCTCTATATGAAAAGGTGGAGAGAGATAGTGTGATATAATGAATAGAGAACCAAGCTTGGGATCAGGAAGATCTGGGTTCAAACCCTACCTCTGAAACTGGTTTTGTGACCCTGAACAAGTCACCTTACCTCTCTAAGACTATGGGTAGTAGAAGAATTGGTGATCTGCATCATTAGAGAGATGTTTCTTATTGGCAGTTCCCTCTACTGATGAAATTGTAGGACCAGTTAAAAAAAATAGAGTGGAATCCTCTCCTAAGGCTGATGTTAGGTGGCGGAGAATGGTTCACTTCAGCTTTGCCATCGCGGGCCTTCTCAGTTGACCAAATTGTATCAGAATAGTATTGTACGTAGTTATATTGGAGGTTATAATTTTAGCTGCAACATCCCTATCTGTCCCCCTTTTTCCACTCAGCTCAGGCCTCCATCATCTCTCAGCTAGAGTATTGCAATAGCTTCCTAATTGGTTTCCCTGCCTTGAGTCTTGCCCATCTCAAATCTATTGTCTAGGCAGCTGCCAAAAGTATCTTCCTGAAGCACACAGCTATGTGCCCTACCAGACACCTTTCCCCAGACCCCCAGCTGATGCTTTCTTTCCCCTGAGATGACTTCCTATCTACTTTGTGTGTATTTTAAGAGGATGATGTATACTCTGTGTTTCTTCCAACAGAAGGCAAACTCCTTGATGTCAGGGCCTGGCTTTTTGTTTGTTTGTTTCTGTATCCCTAGCACCTGGAACAGTGCCTGGCACATAGCAAGTTCTGATTTAAATGCTCATTGAGTGAATGGCTGAATGTTTAGTATATCGGTACCTGTGCTACAACAGATTTCTTCTCTGCTTGTGATCTACCAAGTGACAACATGTTCATTGGTACTGGTGAGTATAGAACATGGGAGTGCTGGGGTGAACATTATCCTTGGCTTTCTGCACAAGAGTGGTGCCCACGCCCGAGTATGCTTATGGACACACGGCCCATTCTCTCCGCCTGCCTGTTCCCATTGTTTTAATCTCAGGGCCTTGTGACCTATCTCTCCAGTAGATAAACTAATCAGGAGATATTTGTTAAAAGCCTACAGTGTGCAGAGCACCATGGCCAGTGTTTAGGAAGGTACAGTGCCTAGCATACTGTATTTCCCAAGTACTTAGGAATTACTTGTCTTGTGGATCGGTGAGTGGATCTCCAGAATGTGCTATTCTGGTCCTACCTTCCTTAAAACAAATCTCTAAGTTTACTTCATTTGGGGTAGCCCATGTCATTTCTTTGCTCAAGAACCTTTAAGGAGTCCTATTGCCTCTAGGATCAGATACCAACTCCTCAGCTTGGCATTTAATGTTTTCCAACCTCTGGAAACCTGGCTCCAGCCTCCTTTTGCAGGTTTCCCCCTCCTTACTACGGATCTCCTCTGCCCCAGCCACTATTCCAACAAAAAGAGCCAACTTGCTCTTTTCCAGCTCCATATTCTATTTCCTGCCTCAATGCCTTTGCTCCAACTGACACCATGTCTCCCATCCCTCCCCTGTCAATTTTGCTCTCTACTCACCTTTGCCCCTTAGAAGCCTCAGCTTCCTTCAAGGATCGGCTCACACCACTTCTCATGGAAACCTTTTTGGATGACCTAAGTCTTTAGCACTTTCTCTCCCTCTCCTCAAATTAGCCTGTGTATACTTAATTGTTTACATAGTCTCATTCCAATAGAATGTAAACCCCTTGAGGGCAGGAGGTGCTTTTGTTTTATCTTTGAATCAGCACCACTGTTCTCTAAACGTAGGTTCTTAATAGTTGCTTGTTGGAGTTGACTTCTCCAATAAAGGGATTAAGTTAATCTCTAATCAAAACTAATGGAAAGTTGGATCAGCCTCAGGGTTATAACAATATTGACAAACTGGTATTACCGTAGTGGGCACCTCAGAGAGATGTACCACTTAACAAGTGAGAATAAAATAGTTAACTTTATGACCTAGACTACTGATGGTTCCTCCTTTGGCCCCCCCCATAGGTAGTTTTATTCCATGTTTTTATATCTCTATCACCCTTTACCAGAGACATAACTAGCAAGTTTGGAGACTAGGACAAACTTGGAGCAAACCTCACAAAATATATCCTCAAACTAAATTTTTGAAGATAAATTTAGTTTTGGTGAGGGAAGATAGATTGTAATATCAATAGCATATCAATGGTATATTTTAACTAATTATTCCTGTTAACTAAATGCTAAGTTCGGTTGTGTTTATGCTGCTGAAGTATAGATGCTGACTGCACCCTCTAAAATTTGGAACTCTGGGGAAATATCCTGATTGCCCCACCCTAGTTATGATTCTGTCCTCCACTGGGTTCTTTGCCCCTTACAGTTCACATGGTCAAGAGTCCCAGGATGACATGTCTCCAGCTCCCCTAGGGGTTGGGTCTCCCTATTCTGAAGTGAGCAGGACTGGAAATGGGGCCTTGAGAATGGCAATTATTCTGGGGGATTACCTTAATCTTTCAAATTGACTTCAATTGATGGAGAAATGAGGGGAGAATGGCAAAAGCGCGGAAAGTGTTTTCTGTCTTGGTGCAGTAGCCAGGTAGGAGGAAGCCTAATAGACTTGAGGGAGCTTAGTACAGGAAGGGGTTATCATTGAAGGTTTCTGAGCTTTTAGCCATCGAGAGTCAACAGAGCCAATAGTTGGAAGATTGGCATGAAGGGTATTGGCATCATCTCCTGATGACTAATCTCATTTTAACAGTGATAGTGGTTGGCAATTCCTGGGGTGGGGAGCCGTGGGGCTGGCATGGAATGGGGCCTCTGATCTCCTCATCCTTGCTGGGTTAGCATTGTTGGTGGTAGCAGCACTTAGCAAAATGGAGGGAGACCAGGGAAACTGAGTCAGATCTCTTCCTCTTCGCTTGCCTTGTTCCAGCGGTGGCAGCAGTTAGCAGTGATCCCCAGGAGAAAATTGGTGGCCACAGAAGCGATGGAGACCACAAAACCCACGAAGGCAATGAATAGGTAATCATCCAGCGTTAAGGTCAGGTGACAAGCTTTGAAGCTTTCCTCTGTGAGGGAGAAGAGTGGGGCACCCTCCACTTCCGGGGGGCCCCGGCACTCTGCCAGCTGGGAATCTGCAACAGAGAAATCGGAGAAGCCTTTTGATCCCAGGGAGAGAAGAGATCCCCTAATCTCTGTGGGCAGTGCCTGGAGGGTTGGAGTCTTGCTCTTCCAGCTCAGGCTGAATTAGGGGCTCCCTGAGGGTAAGGCCTGTGCTTGTCACGAGTCAACTAGATGTCTCATGGCCAAGTGTTGCCATCTTTAGTCAGGGAGGCAGGCACTTTCTCCTGTTAAGGAGCAAATTTTGAGTTGCCTTTGGTTTCTGCATGGGAAGGGAGTTTCCTCCTATTACTTCTGTTGCTGCATCTGAATTCTCCCACCCTAACCTGAGGTCACTTTCACAAGGGCTTTGTATGTAACTGCCATGGTGCACCATCCCCTAACTTCATCAGGTCAACTTATTTTCCCTATATGGGGGACACCCAGGCCAAGAATCCTGCCCCACAATATCAGGCCACTGTAGCCAGTGCCCCATGAAGAGGCTTCATCTTGACATCAATAACCTTAGATTAAAATAAAATCAATATAAAACAAGTCACTAGTTGATTCACATGATCCTTCTGGGAAGTGTTTTAGCATCATTATCCTTGGAGGTGGGGTAACCTCATCAAACCCATCATTGGGTCACTTGTATTTGGCAAAGCTACAACATGGCGGTAAGGTCAGGGTTTGTGACAAGTAGGAGAAATGGGAGTCCAGAAAGAAAGGGAAACAGAGTTCCAAGTTTAGTGGCAGAAGGGAGTGTGGTATAAAGAAAGATGTAGGAGCAGTAGTCCTGGAGCCTGAATTCTAATCTTATTTCTGCCACTGATTCACTGTGATCTTGCCTAAGTCGTATGAGGCTTCTGTAGTCTTTTGGCTGTCCATCTGTATTAGTCAGGCAGTGTGCCATAGTGGATAAAATATTGGATTTGGCAAAGTCAAGAAAACCTGGGTTCAAATCCCACCTTTGTTACATACTAGCTGTGTGACCCTGGCCAAGTCACTTAACTTCTCTGCCCCTCAGTTTCTTCCTCTGTAAAATGAAGAGGTTCTACTAGATGGCCTCTAGGGCCCCTTCCACGTCCAAATTGATGGTCTAACAATGAGAAGGAGGTTGAGACTTTCTAAGGACTTTCTGAGCTCTATGATTCTATGTCATGAAATAATATTTATAAAGCTCTTAGCAAGCTCCTGGCAAGTGAAGAGCACTTAAAAGCTTATTCCCTCCCCACTCTCCTCTTTGGAAGCTCTGGTGGTCAGCAAGGGCAGAAATAAAGTGAAGGGAGGAAGAAAATGTGACTTGATTACTGTCTCCAAAAAGTCCTGAACACCTGTTTTCTGTAGCTTCTCCCATGAATTTAAGAACATATTAAAGGAAAGAAACAGCCTCCTAGAGTTGTGCAGTATTTGAAATGGCTCCATCCCTCGCTTTTCTGTGCCCCATAATGCATCCCTGTTAATGCTTGGCCCAGGCACCTAAACCTCACATGTGGGTTCTCCAGCTATTTTCAGCCCTGAAAGAGTTCCTTCCCACAGCTCTGTGGAAGAAATATAGTCGTGACCCACGGCCCCCATATTTATTCTGGTCCTGGGCCCACCCACACCCACACCTCAGCTCTCCCAGTGCTCCCCTTGAATTTTCCCTACTCCTCTGCCCTTTCCCAGTGGGCTTCCTAACCCACACTGCAAGAAAGACATATCTGTGCTCATATGCCATAGCATGCTCTTTTGGTCATAGGGCAGGGTTTGGAGGAATAAAGCACTCTGCTGGGTCAAGCCTCTCTGCATAGAATTCTGCTATTTCAGAAATGTTTCAGGTTTGGTTGTGACTGGCAGCTGCATTCACAGCTAGACCCATTCTGTGGTGCCCTCTGGCTTGGCTAGTACTTCAATTAGGCATTTTATCCAGTCCCTTTCAACCCCTACCTACATCCCGGAGAAACTGGGAATCAGATTGAACTTTGTGGCCACTTTTTAACTTTCTGGGCTCCCAAATCCCAGCCCCATGTCCCATAAAATTCTACCCTTAGTCCTCTTCCAAGATCCTTCTGATGATAATACCAGCTAGCATTTGGATTGCCCTTTAAGATGGGCTAAGTGATTTATATATGTTATTAGTTGACCTTCACAACAATCCTGCGAGGTAGATGATGTTATTCTCTTGAGTGTACAGATGAGGAAACTGAGGCAAGAGAAGTTGCCTGACTTTCTCAGGCCATGCAGATATTAAGTGTGAGGAAAGATTCCAACTTAGCTCTTCCTGACTCTTAAGTCCAACATTCTATCCACCACTCAGCCTAGCTGTTCCTTGTGCCCCCAAAGCCTTAGTTAGGCAGTGGAGAGTGGGGTGGGAATAGTAGTGGTCTTCGATTTGTAGCCTCTAGATTTGATCCCAACTCCAATACTTCCTATATGTAAGACCCTTGGCAAGCTGCTTCCCTTTTCTGGATCCCAGGATCCTCCTCTTCAATAAAACGAGGACTCTAAATACACTATCCTCACTCACTGGGTTGTTTCGAGAACAGTACTCTAGAAAAATGAGCTAATATGATTATTACCCAGAAGGGAAAAACTTCTCTTTGTTTGGAGAAGAGCCTAAGTAATAATAACGGCAGTAATCCCCTAACTCGCATTTCTATAGCATTTTAACTCAGAAGCTTGGGGGAGGGTCACTTGCCTGGTCATGATTTCCTTTTCGTTGTCCTTAGTCAACAGCTGAGCAAAGGAAAAGCTGAATAAGAAGTTAAGGGGCAGAGCTGAAAGCCTGCTTCTGCCACTTACCTGCGTGACCTTGAGGAAAAAGGAACCTTGTGCCCTCTCTGGGACTCAGTTTCCTTCCTGGTAAAATGAGGAAGTTGGCCCAGATGACTTCTAAATTCCCTTCCAGCTCTCAATCTGTGCTTCTAGGACTCGGCTTGAATGGGGTGAATGGATTCTAGCCTATGGTCTGTGAGCTTGTTTTTTTTTTTTAAACCATCTTGATAGCTGTATTTTAATAGAGTTGGTTTCCTTTGTAATCCTATGTGCACTTAAGTACATTATTCCAAGAAAGTGTTAATAGACTTCCCCAGATTGTCAAGGGGGTCCACGACACACACAAAAGGCTAAGAACTAGCTGGGCCCTTTCAAGAGCGTTGGGTTTCAAATCAGAGGCTCTGTGTTTGAACTTCATCTCTGCTATTACTGATCGCTTGTATGCCTGGGCAAATCACTTTCCTTCTCTAGCCCTGTTAAATAGAAGGGCTGACTAAGATCCCTTGCAGATTAAGTCCTATGATCATATGATCTCCCCTTCCCTCTTCCTCCAAGGCATCTTGCCCTGCCGCCCCCAACCCTGATGGACCATCTCCTACCTGCTGTACAGCGCTGAATCTTATTTCTCAGCCACTTCAGGAGGGGCTCCATGGTACAGCCACATACCCAAGGGTTCCCACCAATCTGTAGGGTCACTAGCCCGGGCAGACCCTCCAGGGCCTCAAGGCTGAGAAAAGCCAATCCTCCATAGCTGAGGTCAAGTTCTCGGAGCTGGGAGAGACCCTGGAAGGCCTGAGGGTGGACTTTTCTCAGCCAGGGGTTATGGCTGAGGTCAATGCGTACCAGCCCTCGAGCCTCGAGGAACATGTCAGCAGGGATGTGGCTGAAGTTGTTGTAACTCAAGTCCAAGTGGGCCAGTCTCTTAGTGTGGAGGAAGAGCCCAGGGGGCAGCTCAACCAGGGAGTTGTTCCGAAGGTCCAGCACCCGGAGCTCCCCATAGCAGGTAAGGTAGCCCGGTGGGACAGTGGCAATGCGATTGTGGGCTAGGCTGAGGTTTCGAGTGTCCAGTGGGAGGTCAGGAGGCACAGAGAAAAGGCGCTGGCTGCTGCAGTCGACCACTTGGCTGCGGCAGGTACACAGGACTGGGCAGCTGGCGACAGCATCAGCCAGGGCCAGCCCTGCTGTAAAGAGGAGCGAGGCCAGCAGCAGGGCTGGCTTCAGAGAGCAGGGTCGGACCAGCTGGGACCAGACAGGGCCCATTTCAGTCCTCTGCCAGCAGCAGCATGGCCAAGAGGAGCCCATCACCCTGGGTCTCAGAGAAGAGTCACTGGGGCAAGAAGGCAGCTACATTGTGGCCAGGGGCTGGGGGAGGTGGGGCTCCTGTTCATGAGCTCTCATTGGCTCTGGCCAGCCTGGGAGCATGGGAAGCATGAGAGGGCTCCCCAGGTGAGAAGCACCAGCAGGGTTCCTTTGGTGGCACCTGGTGGGAATGCAGGGAGGCTCAGCCAAGGCTCCTGGGGTTCCGGGAAGATGATCAATACCGTTGAAACCAAGGGAGACGCCCAGTGGGACCAGCTGGCAGCAGTCCTTAAAGCTATGGCCAAGGATACTCTGGGCCATTGAAAGTCATCAAAGACCACAAGATATTCTCAGTTAAGTGTCTGACTGGGGTGAAAGGGGGAGGGCTGAAGGCTCTATTTAGCACCTCCCCCACCCCTACCTAAGTCCCTGCACTTACTCAAAGCCACTGAAATCTCTTAGGGGCAAATCCAGTCCTCTGGATCCTAGCACTCAGGGCTGCAGAACCCATCTCATGAAGACATTTAATAGTCAAAGAGAGACAAGGGATTAGCCTTCTGTGAAGGATACCCAGGCTGAAGGGGGTCTCCATGGGTCCCACCAGGAGGTGGCAGGACTTTTCCTGTGCTAAGGAGAACAGGACCAGAAAAACCACTCTCCTGAGAAGGGGTCTTCTGTCTGTGTGTTACTGGAAAGGTTTGGGTAGACCATGAGTCCCGAAGTTCCAGGAGAAGCCTGAAGGCTCACCAAAGGGAGGGATCGCCAGAGGGAGAATCCAAAGCTTTCGCTGTAAGCCAATTCTGTGCTCAGCTCTGAACTTGCTCCTAGTCCAATGCTCTTTTCCTTCAGTCAGCAGGGAGTGGTTAGAAGTTCCCACTGCATCATCTGCCAACAAGATTTGAAGAGCAGATGCTTAGCAGGGGGCTTAGAAAAGGAGAGACATTTGCTGCCTGGCCTTCTTCTTATGGTCTCCTTTCTCCTCCCTGCCCTTTCCATGCCCTTCACTTTATGGATACGTCTCAAAGGTGCCTCCTTGATGCTGACATCACACCCCTTAGCTCTGGACTCCTCCAACCTTGGACCCCTTCTGCAAATAGTTGCAAGAGATTCTCGCCTCCCCTCTAGTGACCCAAATCCACCTATCACAGTGAGAATCCTGTGGTACAGCTAGTCCTTTACCTCTACAGCCATCTTACCCTCCAACCTCTGCCCCCCAATCCCTATTAGTGCAAACGCACACCTGCCTATTCTGTGACACACACCCACTAGGGCTGGGCTGCCCTCATCGATCTCAGAAGAACCTTTGCATTGCCTCCCAGAATCACTTTCATTTCCTCCCCTCCTGCTCTCCCCTTTGCCTCCACCGCCAAGCTGCCTGCCTGGTACTCACCTCCTCTGACATCTTTGCCTCCAGTGGCCTCTCACACACCCAGCCGGAGCTTCCCCTACCATCTTTCACACACAGTACACACCCCTACTCCCAGCATCCTTTTCCATGAATGTTCCCCACCCCCACCCCCTGCACCTACTCCCCTCCCTCCCCCAGACAGCAATAACATAGTGCATGGGTGGCCTTGCACCACCTTTCACACCCCTTCCCCTTGAGACACATGCTTGCTGTCCCTTCTGCTCCTCCATCCTTCACTCACCCTCTACCCCAGCATCAATGCCCCCTCTCAACCTCAATTCCTGATACAAGAAAATGACCCCAGCTCCAGACTTAGTCCTGCCAGACCCAGGGTCTCCCAGGTGCTTCCCCTTACCCCTACCCTTCTTCTCACTCTGCATCCCCTAAAGCAATTACTCACTCTGGCCCAGGAACGCTGCAATCAGTGTGGAGGCAGACAAGGATTTCCCTCTTGGAATCCCAGGTTGTTTCAGGAGAACAGCTTGCCTTCCTTCCCTCCTTTTCTCTTTCCCTCCCCCTCTCTCTCCTCCTCCATGTCTCCGGGCTCCCTGGCCAGCACCTCCTGAGGCTTCCTCCTTCTGTCCCTTTCAGCCCTTCTTCCCTGAGATGGGTTGAGAGAAAGGGGAGCTCAGAGGAAAGTTTAGAGGCCCCAAATGCCTATTCTTGAAACTCAGCTGTCAGCCAAGGCTGCCGGAGTGTGTGGCTTCAGCCAGGTCTTCCTCCCCTTCCTCTCTCCCTCCTCCCCCTCCCTCCCTCCCTCTCTCTTTTTTTCCTCGAGGGCCAGGTACTGACGTTTCACTGTCTCTTAGCAACTGCCTCCACATCTCTGAGCAACAGCAGAGCTGGCTACAGACCCCACCAAGATGAGGGAGAAGGGGAAAGAAAACACAGTTGGGGAGACTCTGTAGCCACCCACAGAATCTTAATAACAGGGAGAGGGTAAGAGAAATGAGAGGCAGGGACAGACAGGGGAAGTCAGAAAAAAGAGAAGGATGAGGAGCTACTCAGGGACAACCATTAGCAAAGAACAAGAAACGTGGAAACAGGCAACCATGGGCAGAACTAGGGGTGGAGAGTCCAGTATGAGCTAGCCTATCTAGAAATGGGAATGAGCTAAAACATGTGGAAGAGGGGAAAGGGAAATGGAGGAAAGAAAAGAGAAAAGAAAGAACATCATTAAAGATGGAGAAAAAAGAAGGGAAATGCACATTCACTGAGATTTGAAAGTCTCTGTCACTTCTTATCAGGGTACTGAGTTGACACAACCAAGGTGCCATTTTTGAATAATTAAACAGACAGAGAACTCCCGATGCTTCTTTATGATTGAACAAGTGGCGAACCAGATAGTGAACTCAGAACACGTCAAATGGCTATGTGAGGAGACAAGCTCCATTTTCCTCTTGGACAATTAGTTCCACAGCCTGAGAGGCAGTGTAGTGGAATGAATAGAGGAATGGACTTGAAGTCAGTAAGATGTGGGTTCAAATCCTGCCTCTGACACAAACCAGCTCTGTGATCCTGAAAAAAAAAATCACTTAACTTCTATGGGTTTCAGTTTCCTTAGCTATAAACTGAGCAGGTGAGATTAGATATCTCATGAAGTCCCTCCTAGCTTTAAATCTATGAGCCTATGATTTATCCAGACCTCTGGGACTGAGGCCTTAAGCTTGAAGCTGGGTAGCTTCCTTCTTCATGTGGCTAGCTAACGCTTAGGAACAGTGAGTGACCAGCCACTATGTTCGGGGATATGATCAGGAAAAGTATGGATTCCTGAGGACCCTGGGGTTTCCTGCTAAGCAACTGTCCACAAATCCAGGGCCAAAGTTCAATCCATGTCAATGGTCACGTGGCAGGTGAAAAGCTAGCACCATCTTCAGCTGAATTAATCAGGCATCTATGACTAGGAAGAACAGAGGCCCACCACAGTCTGCCCTCATTGGGCAATATGTATTTGTTTCTGAGAACCACACTTTAGGAAGGGCATTGAGGAAGAAGAGAAACCTGTAAAAGATAGCAAGCAGGACAGTGAAGGCACCAGAGGCCATGATAGATGAGGATCAGATGAAGGACCAAGAGATGTTTACCTGGTGAAGAGAAGACTTAAGAAAGCTGCTTTGGCATGTTTGAAGGGCTATCAAGTAAAAGAGGGCCCTGAGTCCTTCTGCTCAGCCCCAGATAGCAGAATGAAGACCAATAGATGGGAGTTACCTAGAGGCAGATGTTAGCTTAATGTAAAGTCAAACCTCCTGAGAAATAGAGCTGTCTAAAAGGTAGAATGAGCTCCCACAGGAGGCAGTAAATTGCCCATTACTGGAGCCCTTTTGATGGAAACTGGATGACTGCTGGATGTTCTAGAGAGAATTTCTTTTGATGTGATCGCCTCTGCAGTAAAACCCTGAAATTCTTTGATTCTGATTCTAAGCAAGGCTGAAATCTTTCTTCCTTCTCCCATAATGATCATGAGAAGGTAAAATCAAGCCTCAGGGATATTTACTTTTCTTTGGGTTAAGTGAAAGGAGGCTCTATTAGGCTAATGGGCCTCACTTAACACCGGTTTGGATGGAGCAGGGTGATATTATTCATCTAATTCACCCGACATCAGATATCCCCAGAGGAGCACTTCCAGGTGGATCCCCTGGACCTGTCTAATTGCTTCCATGTTTGGCAATAGAAAGTGGGGACATTCGGTTAGAAGAGGGAAGGAAGGAAAGGAACATTTAACTGGCACCTGCTTGTTCTCTATACTTTGCTAAGTGCTTAATAAATATTATCTTATCTGAACCTTCCAACAACCCTGGGAGGGGGGTGCCATTATTATCATCCCCATTACAGTTGAGGAAACTAAGGCAGAAACAAAAGTCACTTGCCCAGGGTGACCCAGATACTAGTAAGAATCCGATGCCCTTTTTGAGCACAAGTCTTCCTGACTAAAAGCCCAGGGCTCTATCCGATGTGCTGCCAGCTTCTTCTCGGCAAATGCATTTTGGGGTTGCATGATCATAGGGTGTTAGAACTGGAAAACAGCCTCAGCACGGGGAGTAAGAGAGCTTAGAACTCAGGAAGGACTTAAGAACTCAGAATGTTAGAGTTGGAAAAAGACCTTAGATATTAGGAAGCGACCTCAGCACGTCAGTGCTGGGAGGGACCTTAGAACTCAAAATGTCAGAACTGGGAGGGTCCTAGGAACATTGAATGTCAGAACTGGGAAGGACCTTAGAACTTAAGAAGGGACCTTAGAACTCGAAATATTAGAATTGGGAAGGCCTTAGGAACATTGAATGTCAGAGCTGGGAAGGATCTTAGAACTTAGGAAGGGACCTCAGAATATCAGAGCTAGGGGGGACCTTAGAATATATAACTGCAGAGCTGGGAAGGACCTTAGAACTTAGGAAGGGACCTTAGAACTCAAAATGTTAGAAATGGGAAGGCCCCAGGAACATTGAATGTCAGAGCTGGGAGGGACCTTACAGACTCAGAATGTCAAAACTATAGGGGACTTGAGAGGTTATCTGGTCAACTCTTTCATTTCACAAATAAGAAAATTGAATTCCACAGGGGGGAAGTGACTTGTCCTAAATCTTATGAGCTGAATTGGGGGTTGAACTCGAGTTTCCTGATTCTCAGGTCAGTGTTTTCCAAACTAAATCAGTTTTCTATCAATGAAGTCAAGAATAGAGTCTGTCATAAACAGCCAAAGTATGAATGTTGCTTGATTACTGTCTGCGGCTTCTGTGGATCTCCTTTCCTGACAGTTACACAGGCCATTCGGCAGGGGCTGGGGCCTTCCTGTCTCTTCTTGGGGCTGGCCTTCCCACTTTAGCCTATTACATGGTGCTGACTTATCCCCACCTGTTTGGGGCTTTGTCCCTGCCTTTCCAGGAAGCCCAGAGCACCTTCTTTTCTGGGGGTTCTATTCAGTTCTCCTGCTCATCCTGCTGCCTAGAACCTGTTCTCTGTCTGCTTTATTCTGTTCCTTCTTGCTTATATCTGGCCTCATGACTGTTGGCCTGGATTCTGGCCTGCCCTCTGGCATCTCAGTATTCCTGGTTATTGTCTGCCTGACCAATTAGACAATTGTAAGAAGGGCAAAAGGCTAGGCTTTGTTTTTTCTTTTTCTTTTCTCTGTAGCCCTGCTGTACATCACAGTGCCTGGCACACAGTAGGCACTTAGTAATTACTTGTTGACTTATCCAGCTTCTGACCCACCATGAGTCTTGGCCCTGACTCCTCAAATATGTCCTGACAGTGGCTGACCAGCTGAGGCCTGATCCACTGCCTCTGGACTTCCAACACCTGCTTGATCCTGAGCAAGTCTCCATGTTTAGTCTCAGCTTCCTGTGGAGAATCACTTTACTGTTTTGATCCTCAGTTTCTTCATCTGTTAAATGGGAATTATAATATTAAAGAAATAAAGGACAGTTATTGTGTGGTATGTGGAAGTTTCCCACCTACAAGAAGAGAAGCCATTTGAATGTTGACAGTGAAGATAAAGAAAGAGATATAAGATCAGCAGTGGCAGCCTGGTTGCCACAGATGGGGAAGCGTTCCAGCTCTTACATTCTATGTTCTATGTTCCAAGCTTCCTTCCGGCTCTGACCATTTATGTTCTATGTTCCAAGCTTCCTTCCAGCTCTGACAGTCTATGTTCTATGTTCCAAGCTTCCTTCCAGCTCTGACAGTCTCTTCCTGTTCTGACATTCTAAGCCCCCTTCTACCTCTGATATCCCATGTTCTATGCTCTCTTCCAACTCAGATATTCTGTGTGCCAAGCTCTTTTCTGATTCTTATATTTTATGTACTAAGCTCCCTGATGGTTTCTGACTCTCATAAGGGTCTGAGTCTGGGTCACATGGCAAGTGCTTTGTCACATCTTAACTGGACCTTTCCCTGTATGTTGCAACCAGCTTACTCTCACTAATCCTTTTGCTCTTCCATCTAGAGGTTTGTAGGAACACACATTTGGAGATGAGAAGATATTGGAGGCCATCTAGCCCAACTATCTTATTTTACCGATGAAGGCTCAGGAAGTGAAGTGACTTATCCAAGGCTGCACCACCAGGAAGCATCAGAAGCAGGATTTGAATCCAGATCTTCTAACTAGGGAGTCAATGATTTTTTACCTATGCCCAGTTGCCTCCCTTCTCTTTCACCATTCAAACATAAGCTCTTCTCTTCCAACACTTTCTTCACCCATTTTGGTTGAGGGGAAGTACTGGTTATACTACTGAATGACATTACGAAACCGTCTCTTACTTCCTATAGAAGTAAAATTATTCCCATTTTATGTTAAAGAAGACTGAGGTTCAAATTTAGGCCTAATGTCAGAAGAAATTACCTCCTAAAGATTAGAGCTGTCCAAAAGGAGACTGATGGGTTCTCTCTTCTTGGAGTCCTTCAAGCAGAGACTGGATGGCTACTTGTTGGCATATTATAGTGGTAATTCATTTTACATATGAACTGGGTGGCAGCTGAGGTCTCTGCCAACTCACAATTCAGAGGCTCAAGAGCTAAAGTAACTTACCCAAGACAAAACAGGCAGTGCATTTCTGGTCTGGAACTCATACCCGTACCTTCTGATTCAAATTGGGCTTTTTCTATCACGTGCCAAGTTCTGTACTTTGCTCTTTAAAAGATACAAAAGAAATATAAGAATGTGGTTTCTTCTCTCAGAGAGTTTACCATCTGCTTGGGGATATGAGAGTATCCCACATGAA